TTTGAGGTCTTATACACAATGTCACATCTAGGGTGTACTTTGGGTCGTGACAAACTTTGTATTCGGAGCACAAGGTTTAGAAAGGTTCTAGGATGTCTCATAATCCACGTTGAGAAGAGTCTTTTTCATGAGTGTGAAGCGACCACATTTATGAATGAGAGTCTATAAGTTGTTTAGGAAACTCCACTTTTTGTTACTCTAAAGTCGTGCCATAGAGTTTATCTCTATAAAGGTCCTCCTCTCCTAACCCCAATTTATGCTTTTCAAATAATTCCCCCACAAAGGAATCCTTTGAGAAAGAATGTTCGTGAAAATGTGGAGCCTGAGATTCCCCAAGTGTCGGTCGACCCTTTGGCCGATCAAGTGACTAATGATGAGTTTCGAGCCACATTTTATGCATTGTCCCAAGTTATGGTGGCTTAAGAAAATAGAGAGGTTCTGTCTCCCGTGAACCCAAGGGTGGGTACGGTGGCAACAAGGGTGAGGGACTTTACTAGAATGAATCCTCCAAAATTTCATGGGTCTAACGTTGAGAAAGATCCTCAGAGTTCATTGATGAGGTTTATAAAAATAGTGGGGGATCATTGGAATCACTTCGGTAGAAAAAGTGGAATTGGCCGCTTATCAACTTAAGGGTGTTGCTCAAGTTTGGTTTAACCAATGGAAAGAAAAGAGGGTAATAGATGCGGGTCCTATTGATTGAGAAAAATTTAAGGTTGCTTTTCTTGATAGGTTTTTCCCATTGGGATGAGGGAGGCAAAGGTACTTGAGTTCATTAACCTTCATCAAGGGAATATGAGTATGAATGAGCATGCTTTAAAATTCATGCAATCGTCCAAAAGGGAGAAATATTACTAAAAATATTTTTTTTCTCTAAAGAAATTATTGTAGATATAAGAAAAACAGGTAAGCTTGATAATGTGGTGATTAAATTGGATATGACAAAAACATATGGTAGAATTGACCGGAGATTTTTCCTGAAATTTATGGAGAAAATAGGCTATGACAATCTGGTTGTGGATATAGTCTATAGATTTGTTGCAAACACTTGATATTCTATTATCGTTAATAGTCAAGTGCGTGGTTTCTTTCACTCAACTGGAGGTGTGAAACTATAACGGTCAGCCTCTAGTGATATTGCCTAATATGGTCTTAGGCCTGCACGAATTTAAAACGTGTCATTAGTTTGTAAGATCTGCTTACTTATATTCCCAACATCTATCATTTATTTTGCTAATGCAAGACTTCTTATCTTAAGACGGGGTGTACATACACCCCCTCTATGGACTTAGCGTCCTCGCTAAGGTTTGCCCAACCGCAGATATGCCTAGACTCAATATTGAGGTGTGCCCCGCCTTATCGGGATTTACCTAAACTCAGTTAAACTTTGGCCCACATCGACAAGACTAACTCATGAATGACTCTAATATATTTGTAACGGCTCAGCCCGCTAGTGATATTATCCTCTCTAGGCATAGGCCCACACATCTTTAAAATGTTTCACTAGCTGGAAAGACATACTACTGATATACCCAACATCTCTCTTGTATTTTACCGATGTGGAATTTCTTATCTTAAGATTGGTGTTACAGAAAAGGTGAGTCAGCTTATGATCAATGATAGATGGGATGGGGAGTTAAAATTTCAGTTCTTTTCCAAAAGATGATTGTAATCATATTTTGAAAGAGATTGGGGGTAGTTGAGGATTTTAAAGATTGAGATCATATACCTTGGTGGATGTTGAACAATTTAGGTAAATTCACTGTGAGGTTCGCATCGAAACTATTGAGACAAAGACATTATATTCTTGATAACTTTTAGAAATTGTGGAATAAACGTGTGCCATTTAAAGTCTCATTTTTTTTTGGTGATTTTAGAAGCAAAGACTATCAATTGGAGAAATTCTAATGAGATTTGGTATTGCTAATGAGGTCCTATTTTGTTGTGGTGGAGATGGTGCTCTAGAATCATGTCAACATCTCTTCATTTCTTGCTTTTATGGCTTTAAGAATTTGGAATACTTTTTCTACTATTACAGGGGTTATAAGTCCTTTTTTGCAACTCGAAGATACCATTTTCAAATGGTGGAATACATAGTGCTCCTCTAAGATTAAATATTTATATGACGCCATCTCAATCTTCATTCTTTGGGAAATATGAAAAAAAGAAGAAATACAATTTCATATAGTGGTAGATTGTCCTTTTATGAATGACTATGGAAGTCACCAAAAATATCTACTCACTGGTAAAGAGAAGGTACCAATGGCTCATGCATATCCCCACAACTTGGCCAATGATAGTTAGATTCTTCGAGCAATACTCCCTCATCATTAATTGTAAGGCTGTCCACAAAAATTACCTAGCTCGAGATATTTCAAATGTAAATACAATGGTGCAACAACATGAAATCATGATCCTTGTTCACGAGCCTTTTGTATTAAAAATAAAGAAGGAAGTTTTGTGCATGCAGATCTAGAAGGCTAGAGAATGGAATAAATTTAATTTAGTGCAAGAAATTGTAGCTTTAAGAATGAGTCTGGAATGTTGCATTAATCATAATCACATGTCATATTGGAAACTGACTCTTTGAACCTTGAGAAGATTTTGAATTTAATTTGGAAGGTCCCTTCAAGAATCTTGATGGAAGTACATCAAATTAATCTGATGAGATCTAATGTTATGATAGTGGTGGAACATACATTTTGAGAATGCAACATGGTTGATGATTTCTTTGCTAATCATATTTTTAATTTTGTTGGTTCACAAAGTATTGTATTTTTAACCTAACAAGAAATGCAAGCATAAGCTAAAACAACTCTCATTTTAGATAAAAATCAATGTACGAATCTCATAAGGAGAAAATGTCAAAATAGAGGTTTCAGGATTACAGATACAAGGAATACAATAATCCCATAGAAGACATTATTAAGATGCAACTTGAGTTAAAAGATATTTTGTTAAGAAACGAAATTTGTAAATTCATGTTCAAATGCACACTTCAGGTCTTTTATTAGTTGAATGTCCTCCACTTTGCAATGTTGATATCTTCTTATAAGCTCATTACTAATCATAAAGGGGTAAAGGAATCCAATTGACAACTAAACTTGCATAGTGTTCTTGCTACTTTTGAGATGCTTAAGAGGTTAGTTCAAAGACTCACTCGTGTTCTTTTTTACTATGCAGTGATATCAGATTAATGAACTTAACTTGTCGGAGGTGAAGAATACAAATTTGTCGGATAACGACTGATGTTTTTGTTAGAATAAGAAAAAAGATAAACAATTACTGATTTGCTCATAAGACTTGCAGTCATAGAGTTGAAGAAATCTTAGATGATATTCAATCTTATGTCGTTCGTGAGAGATTTGAATATTTCTAATGAAATAATCCAAAATTGTTTGATCTTTCACTTATGTTGTGACAACTAAGAAGTAGATGGATGAGCCCTAACCTCATCTTGTCTCACAATAGCTTGTCAAGCTCTTTTAATTGAGGAGTGAAGTCGTTGAAAATAAAGTTTGAGAAATAAAGATTGGACTAGGGATTCTAAATTTTTCCTAATTTTTCAACAAGTCTTTATTTATTTTTTGCTTTTCTTTTTGAGAAATTTTCACAAATAGCCATTATAGTAAATTTAATTATGTTTCATAGCTATAGTTTGCATAATTATGGATTGTATCTACAATTTAAGTTTCCTTGTTTGTATAATTCACGAGTTTGTATAATTTAGGGGTGAGTTTATATAATTTGCATGTACGTTTATATAATTGAGCTATTTTTGTATAAACTAGAAATAACGAATTTATACAAACATAAACATATGAACTTTAAACAATTATACAAATTATATTATACAAAATTACATCATACAAAATTTATACAAATTATATTATACTAATTCTGAATTATACAAATATGTGAATTCTACAAACTCGAAATCTTAGCCCACATACTTATCACTGAATGTTAATTGCGAGTGGTAATTAACTAAAACTTTAGATATAATGATTAATTAATTAGTAGATGTTTGCTTAACCATGCAATTTTCCCTTCTTTTTCTTTTTATTTCAGAGACAGTAAACCCTTACTAAATTAATATAGGTGGAACCATGAAATATTATTATTTTGTAGAGGCATTATTTAATCGATAAATTAATATTTTATTAATTTAAAGAGTATTTCGAGTTTCGACACCACAATATTCCTTCGAAGATGAAATCTCTGAGAATTTGAATGAGCCTACTTGTGAAAACGTTATTCATGAACATGATGAGGTCATGATTAATGATCTTAATTACCACAAAAAATTGGACGTTAATAACTTGTTGGATGAGTGAAAAAATGATAGATGCTCAGAGGTCCAGATCTTTGAAAAAATTGTGAATACCATCGGAAAAAAACAATGTTGATGATAAAGTTGAAGATTATAGAATACCTTTGGAACCAGTCACGCGTGAGGAAGCACTTATCGCATCTAGAACTCTTCACAATTTTATGAAACAGTTCGAAAAGACAACACCAAAACTTTTGGATGCAGTAAGAAAAGTTGGAGATGAGCTTCAACTAGATTTAAATTTTAACAAAAAACATAACACAATAGAATTATATTTCACCGAAATGTCTTATATATATATATATATATATATATTTGTACTTTTAAAAAAAGTAATAATTTATAATACTAATGAGACCATTTATTTAGATAGGGATCTTCTGAAAATATATTATATTATTATCTTATCGAAATATGTGATTTTTTTCCATTAGTCCAAGTCGTTACCAAAAGAAAATATTATCTTAAAGATATTATTAATTAATCGAGTATTAATTTAGTGAGGTTTTAGTATAGTTTATTTGTGATGGTGGGCTATTTGTTTAGGCATGATTTTTTTTTAAAAAAAATATTGTGCATGTGTTAGGCAAATTAAATTATTTGAGTTACATAAGATATGCATAGGGAGAGTATATTATAACTCAAACTAGTATTATGATAGTATAAAATATCTTTGCTCCAGTTGGTGGAGGTGAGAAAGATGGTTGGTTTATCTCTGCCCTCAACCTTCACCGGAACTTGCTGGAGAAGAAGACGGAGAATGAACACTCTGTTACTTCCTCCGCCATCGCAACTGCCTTATCAATTCCATCGCCGACATCAAATTCTTGGCCAACACTCCTCAACTTCCCATCTATCTATCTCCAACCAATTCAATATACAAGAAGAAGAAGAGGATGAAGAATACCATGTCGGTTCATACTCAAATCAACGCTACGATTTCACTCCTCTCCTTCAATTTCTTTCCACCACCGAACCCAATTCAGATAATTCTTCACCCACACAACTCCACCCCACCGAGTTGCGGCTCGCTGAGTCATATCGAGCTGTGCCCGCTCCACTCTGGCACTCTCTTCTCAAAGGTCTCTCCTCCACCCCATCCTCAATTTCCATAGCCTATGCACTCGTTATATGGCTTCAGAAGCACAACCTTTGTTTCTCTTACGAACTTCTCTACTCTATTCTTATTCACGCGCTCGGACGCTCCGAGAAGTTGTACGAGGCTTTTTTGCTCTCTCAGAGGCAAACACTCACCCCTTTAACCTACAATGCACTTATTGGAGCTTGTGCACGAAACGGTGATCTCGAAAAAGCACTTAATTTGATGTGTAGAATGCGCAGAGACGGGTATCAATCTGACTATGTTAATTATAGTTTGATTATTCAGTCCCTTATTCGTAGTAATTCTATTGATTTGACCATGTTACACAAGTTCTGTTATGAAATTGAAGCTGATATGATTGAACTTGATGGCCAATTGTTGAATGATATGATTGTGGGTTTCGCTAAAGCTGGTGATGTTGATAGAGCTTTAGGTTTCATGAGTATTGTTCAAGGTAATGGATTGAGCCCTAAAACAGCTACTGTTGTTAACTTGATATCCGAATTGGGTAATTCAGGCAGGACTGAGGAAGCTGAGGCTATATTTGAGGAGTTGAAAGAAGGCGGGTTAAAGCCAAGGACGAGGGCGTTTAATGCCCTTTTAAAAGGGTATGTTAAAACTGGATCTTTGAAGGATGCTGAGTATATTGTGTCAGAGATGGAGAGTAGTGGGGTCGCACCAGATGAACATACATATAGCTTGCTTATTGATGCTTATGGAAATGCAGGTAGGTGGGAAAGTGCGAGAATTGTGTTGAAAGAAATGGAAGCTAATAATGTTCAGCCAAATTCATTTGTGTTTAGTAGGATCTTAGCTAGTTATCGTGATAGGGGAGAGTGGCAGAGATCATTTCAGGTGCTTAAAGAAATGAAGAATAGTGGGGTCAATCCTGATAGGCAGTTCTATAACATAATGATTGATACATTTGGGAAGTACAATTGTTTGGATCATGCAATGTCTACATTTGAAAGGATGAAGTTGGAGGAAATTGAACCTGATACTGTTACATGGAACACACTTATAGATTGCCATAGTAAGCATGGCCATCACAATAAGGCGGAGGAGCTGTTTGAGGCGATGCAGGAAAGTGGATGTTCTCCCTGCACCACCACATACAATATAATGATTAATTCTTTTGGTGAGCTCGAGAAATGGGAGGAGGTGAAGGGCCTGTTGAGTAAAATGCAGAGTCAGGGCCTACTTCCCAACGTTGTTACATATACCACTCTAATTAATATTTATGGACAGTCAGGAAGGTTCAATGATGCTATTGAGTGCTTGGAGGTAATGAAGTCTGCAGGGTTGAAGCCATCCTCAACCATGTATAATGCCTTGATCAATGCCTATGCACAGAGGGTAAATAACTCTAAACTTATCATGACCTATGATGAGCTGCTTTGTGAAATTTCCATAGCTTGTACTCACGATATCTTAGGTCATAATTTCCCATAGTAGATATTTATTATGTGTATCCATATAGGTAGTACAAACTAATTGGTTACTTGAGTCAAATTCTTTATGACATTCACGCTTTGGTCACTTCAATTTCAAAACATTGCGAAAAATGATTAACTTAGAGGTATATTTAGTCGCTAGTACACTTACATGAGGTACTGAGTTTGGCAGGAGGTTTCTTAGTTTTGTTAGAGATTATAAGTCAGTGTTGGTAAATGTGATATTTCCAGAATCACTAGTTTTACTAAAAGACGAATAACTGATTATTAGAAATTTAGAATGAAAAGGTTCTGAATGGAGCAAAATGATTATGAAGATTTATATAGCCAATCTCTCAAGTTAGGTCCCTAGTAAAAACCAAAGATATCAAGAACAAGATTGTGTTACCTCCTAAAGAATGCTCTGTTGGGTTGCAAGGTAAATCTAAACTCACCACACACAGAGGTATAAGGAAGATAACATTTCCATATTATTAATAATCTAAGGCTAAGAAAATGACGATAAACCCCTTTATGTGAAAAGTTTCTTTCTCCACCTATAGGGATTGTCTGAACAAGCAGTAAATGCCTTTAGGATCATGAAGGGTGATGGTCTAAAGCCCAGCCTGTTAGCTCTCAATTCACTAATTAATGCATTTGGTGAGGATCGGAGAGATGCTGAAGCTTTTGCTGTATTGAAGTATATGAAAGAAAATGTGAGTTCGCCTTATTTTTTTCGTATACATAGTAAATATACAAATTTCTGTATTTTCTCCCCTTAGTGACTACATATCATTCTAACTTCCATACATATCCTACAACTGCAGGATATGAAGCCGGATGTTGTTACTTACACCACTCTCATGAAAACCTTGATACGTGTGGAGAAGTTTGAAAGGGTAAACACCTACTTTTTATTTATTCTGTTGAGTTGGAGTTTCCATTTTGTATCTTCTTGATTATTTCTCTTGGTTTTTTCCACCTAATGTCTTACTCTTGGTTCTTCTTTTACGTTAAGTTAGCATATTTCATTATATAAACTCTGAACCTCAATCTTTTGATGCAGCAAAAGCATCAAGTTTCTAGAATAAATGGCAGAATTGTAATGAATATCACATTAAGATTGTTATCTTTGTCAAATATACGGGATTGTGTAGGGATCAGCTAAATATTTTGGCTTTCAGGTTCCAGCTGTTTATGAAGAAATGTTGTTGTGTGGATGCATCCCAGATAGGAAAGCTAGAGCGATGCTACGATCTGCTTTGAGATACATGAAGTCAGCATTGAAATAGTAGCAGACTGCAAGTCACTCTAACAATAATGACCTTGATGAATCATGATTTTTCAGTTTTAACTTTAAATTTAAGGTAAGGGAATGTTCTGTATGTATTTGAGTTAACATGTTATTACATTGTGCTTGAGTAAGATAGGAGGATTCAATTAGAAAATCTCTTTCCTGGTGCTTATGTTTTGCTCAAACTAGAAATTTTGAACTTGAAAAAGGTAGTCCTTTTTGGGTGTTTGTAATGTAATAACTTATCCTGAATTGTTTAATGTGCAGCTATGGTTCACATTTGTGCAGTAACCTATGTCACAATTCAAGTTTGACAGTTGGATTGGGAGAATTGGAAGTTAGACATTGAAGGTTAAGAAAGGATCCAAAGTCCATATTCGTCCCAGCATACTTTCATCTACATACTTGTACAGTTCCTATAGCTGCAAAGCGAATATTCATTCAGCTTGCCTTTTTTGTGTAACATGTAATTGCAGTGTTTTGGGTGTAGGAACAGAAGTTGCTTTACAGTCCATGTCATATCTTATGATAAGAGGTCACAAATAAAGTCTAGCTTGCAAATAATTGAGCTCCGAAACCTCTAATTGTAGCTCTCCATCTTTTGACCTTGTGGATGTAGACTAAGAGACTTGGCAATGTTTTTTCCAAGGGTGTCAGTCAAATGGGCTGAAATTGGAGACACTGAAATTGGCTCATCTACCAATTGGGTTGGATTGTGCAAATTTACTTCTGGGGATGGCAATGGGGCGGTGCCGCGTGGGGGTGGGGTGGATTGAGCATAACCCGTAAAATTTCTAATCCGCCCCGCCCTTCATAACAATTTTTTCAATTTTCAACCTGTCCCGCATAAACCTGCCCAGTATGAACCCACCCCGCATAACATTTTTGATATCTTCTTTTTCTAGTTAAGTTTGATACTCAAACTAAAATTCATAAGAATAAATTCTTTTTTTCATTAAGTTGTATTAATTTAATAGGATTGTGACTTAAAAAATTATTTTTAGAGGTCAATTGGAAAATATGTAAGGAATTGCATTATTTTTGTTGAACCATTTTCATTTACGATTTTTAATATTTTAGTAGATTTATAGAAATTATCTTAATAAATAATGCTTCTATCACTCTTATAACATGTAAAAAGTTAAAATTAAATTTGAATCCACATAAAATCACATATACCTGCGTCCCGCCCTGCCTCGCATTAATTTAAAAAATCCACTTCAACCCGCCCTGCATCCACCCTCCCCGCACAACCTTAAACCTGCCCCCGCCTCACATAGCCTTAAACCCACTCACCCTGCTCCATTGCCATCACTATTTACTTTGGGCTAAAAATTAGGCTGGGACATGACTTGTCTAATTAAACTCTGCTTAATCTAAAAATATTAAGGGTCATTTACATTGATAATATATTATATAATTTTATTTATGAATTATTATCTATACTCTTACATAGTTACCTTACTTTTCTTACCAGGTCCTACTCTTTTCTTCCGCTTTCTCTCTCCTTCTGGTTTCTAACACCATTTTCTCTCTCTTTTCTTCCGCTTTCTCTCTCCTTCTGTTTTCTAACACCATTTTCTCTCTCTTTTCTTCCTCTCTATTTTTCTGTCATTTTTTTTTGTCTCTTTCTTTTTAAAATTTCAATTATTTTAATAATTAATGATGATTTGTGAATGAACATTTTTTTTTATAAAAATATGATTTCCATTAATAAAATAAATAAATAAAAATTATATTTGTAATACATTTTGAATTCAATACATTATATATATTATATGCATTTTTCAATACACATTGTAAATACATAATTAATATATTTTTAATATAATAATATATTTTAACACCGTTAATAAGAGAAAAAAAATAAATAACAATTGTAAAACATTTGAATTCAATATATTATATATATTATAGACATGTTTCGACATACATGGTGAAATATATAGCTATAACATTTTTAATACAAATATAGTATAAGTATTATATGTGAATTTCAAATACTCCAATACTATTTAAATTAATTTACATTTTTTGAAATGTATTATATTTGTTCTGAAATAATAACTATCGAATTCTTAATAATGTGTAAAATTGAATTTGAATTGTATTACAACTATGTTTTTTTATTTACTATAGTTTTAATACAATTTTTTTAGAGCTTTCACCCTTCTCCGGCGAATCACCACCACCAGACTTTTATCAGATTATCAGTATCTCAAGTTTAAATAATTTTATGTTGTTAGAAATATATTATATTTGTTTCAGAATAAGAACTATCGAATATATAATAATGCATAATATTGAATTCTACTTGTATTATAACTACCGTTTATATTTAATATAATTTTAATACAACTTTAATACAATGTTTTTAGAGTTTCACCCTTTGTATCCGGTGAATTACCATCGTTGGACTACCATTAGATTATCAGTATCTCAAGTCTAAACAAATTTTGTTGTTAGAAGTGTATTATATTTATTCTGGAATAACAGTTGTCGAATTCATAATCTATCTATATATAATAGGAGAAATAAAAAGTGACACATGTCAGCACCACAAAAATTCAACAATTTTAAAAATTCAAAAAATAATTTAAAATTCTTTTAGTTTTTTGTAAAAAAATGAAATAAAAAGAGTAACCATCAAATAATTTGGATAACAATGAATTTGAATTGAATTCATTTTTCGTTTCCACAAAAATTGTTTTACATTCGAATTTTAACTTTTCCTCTTTTTAAATACTATTTAAAAATAAAAGGCAAAGTATAATTTGGATAACAATGAATTTGAATTGCATATTAGTTACCACGAAAATTGTTTTTAATTTGAATTATAAAATTTCAAAAATAAAAGTGCAAATTGTTAAATAATAATAATAATAATAATCCCCTTGGTCTTGCACAACCTTTTATGTTAATAATACTACTGAAAGGGAACGATGTGTCCCTAGATTGGTTATTAATTATAAGTCTTTAAACAAATATTTAAAATATCTTAGGTATCCTATGCCAAACAGAAGAGATATTATTATTAGTATTATTATAATTATAATAATTATTATTACTATTATTACAATTACTATTATTATTATTATTACTATTATTATTATTATTATTATAATTATCATCATTATCATTATTATCATTATTATTATTATTATTATTATCATCATCATTATCATTATCATTATCATTATTATTATTATTATTATCATCATTATCATTATCATCATTATCATCATTATCATTATTATTATTATTATTATTATTATTATTAGCCATACTAAAATTCTTCTATATTTAAATAAAGCTTAGATCCGTTCATGATCTATATAAAAGAGAAGTTAGTTATCCGGCATAAATATAAATTTTTAGCCGGACATAGTCACAGCTTCCAGATCGGAGATATAAAAAGATTTATAAATAAAAGTAGAGAATTAAATTACCTTGTATCAACAACTTTATTTACTTCCGGCGAACCTCCGGCAAATCGAGAGCTTTACAAACTAAGAGAAAACAAACAACTTAAAAAAAAAACTTTTGAAGAGAGAGTGTTTTCGATGCCTT